CCAGCCCAAGTACAATTAAATATTGTCCAATCCTATTAAGCAAAGGATTCAACACAGAAGGAAAGTTCTATACAAAGCAAGTTCTATGTAGGAAATATTATACAATAGAAAGAACTCTATTTGCAAAGAAAGTCATGTATGGGAAGAATTGGAGGACAAGCAACGCGACTTTAATTCTACCAATTTTTGTGTATAAATAGAGGCCCAGACCTCCAATAAAAGGATCCAAGCAATTCTATACTTCTCTATACATTGTTCTTGTTTATTTTTACTATTCTTGAGTGTGTTGTATTATTTTTCTCAATCGTTAGTGGTTGAGCGGAATTTTGCACCTATATCTATGAACTGCAACACAATTAGAATTAAGTTTGGGTTGAGGTGCTAACAACCAATGCATAACCCAAAATTTAAAATATGCCTAGTGGTAGATCATGTACATTCCTAACAAATAAAGAATAAAAAATTAATCTACAAATTGCCTAATGTGGTACGATATGTTTATATAAAAAAAGTTAGTCTTGCAATCCAAATTTTAACCCAAAATTTTCGATTTGTCAGACGGAATTGATCCTAAACTAAACCATTTAAGAATGGATTGGACTTGAGTTGGTTAGTTCAGATTGAAGGTCAAGGTAGGTTGAATAGTTTATATGTTGAGTTGAATTTGAGTTGTACCTTGAACGCATCCATTCCGCCCGAGTTGCACTCGCAATGCTAACAAATGTTTTACCAGAGGACAGTGTATCAATTGTAAAATTGCAAAACAACCTAAAATTTTGCGGACGGGTATAATATATAATGTAACATTTTAGCTAAATAAACATACACACACATACACTAAACCGATCAACTACAGACATATCAAGTCGTCGTCGTTGTTCCATTACTGGTGGCAGTGATGATTGAGAAGAAACTCAAAAAAAAGAAAAGAAAATAGGGACAATTTAGTTATTTCACATTTAATTAGTTTTTTACTTAATTTTTATTCAGTTATAGAGGGATACTTTAGTTTTTCAGCATTCAGGTTCTTGTTTGCTCTAAAATGAAATGTTATAGACTTTTTAGAATGTATAGTAGGTTTTACACTCTATATGCATGCCATAGGGTTATTTTTCATTCACGATCCATTAACAAAACAACATGGGGTAAATGATAATGTGCCAAAACATTGTTAAATGCTACACAACATTAGTATTAGGGATCAAGTGTAATTAAACAATTTTTTTTCCCTGGAAATAACAACACAAAGGAAAGAACAGAGACACTAAAATTCAATAATAACATCATTGTGATGTTCCGGATTTTTCGATATTCCCCGACCATTTTTTTTGTTTGTGTATGGGGAATGTGTGCCACAGTGTTCCGGGAGTTGTTTGGGATATTTTTTTTTGGGTTTAGAACCATTAGAAATTCATTTGGGTTCTTTTCGATCAGTTTCAATTTTCGTGCTGAGAGGTCTCATGGGCCTATTGAGAGATTTTCGTGTTCAAAATTTTTTTCGACACCACTATGCTCTTCATTTACGTAGGGATTAACCATTTTGCACTGAGTTGTGTCGTTTGCGAGTGTTTGGAACTTAAATGGGCTATTTTAAGCATTTAAGTGGGAGGCGGGACCCACGGGTTGACTTTAGTATATAAGGAAAGGACTAAGCTCATTTTTGGCCACAAATCATTTCATTTCCTGTCTTCGCCAACCGTGGCCTCTCTTTCTCCCCCTTATTCTTTTCTTTTCTTTTTCCTTGTATATGCTTCAGGCATGGATTGCATCTAGCTCGGGTAAGATTTTGGCGATGCCGTAGAAGGGAATGTTGACTAGCGCGACGAGAGCTATGTGCCTATGGTCTCGGATTTTGATTTGGAGCATTTTGAAGATTTTGGGTGAAGACGAAGTTCGAATTTTGGAGGCACCGTAGATGGATTATTTGATTTCCTTTGCCTCCCCTTTCATCCTTCGGAGGCGGTTTCACGAGGAACGCACTTTGGTTTCAGTAGGATTCGGATTTTCATCCTAATTTGAGGTAGGTGTGTCTAATTCATGGAGTCTTATGTTTTTGTGAGTCCTTATGTGATGATTGTGTGATATGGCTTGCTATAGATACTATGTTTTTAAGGAATTGCTTAACTATGTAAAAATTTAAGTCTTTGTCTTGTATATTTGATGTTTAATCATATACTTATTTACGTGTTATCTATGTGGAGAAATTGCTAGCATGCTTTATATGATGTAAATGTGCCAATTTGTATGTTAGAATGATTATGTGGATGCATGCTTAAAATAAGGAAATTATAAATGCTTTATGATGAAATTGGTAAAGTATGTGTATAACATGATTTGGATATAGCTTTCTTGATTTGAAGTATGTTTGATGTTTGACAAGTTGATTTCGTGAAGTAACTCATTGGGTTTTGCTTGGGTTAAAGGATGGTTGTATAATGTGTTATTGATGTTGTTGGATGGCATATAATGCTAGCTAGAAACTAATCAATTTAAGTTGGAAGGAGGCAATTAATGAGGTATTTATAGATCATGCATTGGGTAGGCAATACGTGAGTGAAAGGATGATGTGTGAAGGAAAGGAGTCAAGTTGAATATAGTTGTGATGGACAAAATACAAGCGATGGTCTTGTTTTCGAGATTTTAATAGCTAGACCCCAAATGGTTGGATTAGCGGTGGTGTCACGGCAGGGATAGCTAACCAGTGTTCCAAATGGTGGTAAGTAGACTTGTGTCATTTGGAGTTAGAGGCCTCTAGTGTGGATTTGTATAATGAGATGGATTGGTTGGGAAAGTGCTATTGTGTGTAGGATGAGATTATGGGATTGGTTCGAGGTGGATTCATGGTATTTGGCCACAAAAATTCCATTTGTTCCAAAGTGGAAATGTGAAAGGTGCAGGCATGCCAAGATTCGCGGATAATCTAATGGAGATGGAATAGCACCAAACTATATTCCAAATCTGGCCTTGGGAGGCTTGAAGATCAGGCGATTGTGGAGAGCTTGGAATGACCGCTCTCGCTAGGTTCTTTATGCCTTTGTGGAAAAAGACTTTAAAAATGGAAAGATGGAATGGAAAAAGATGGAAATGCTTGTTGAAAGTGCTGTTGGAGTATTGAAATGAACTAAATTGAAAGTCTGAAATTCATTAAACTAGGAACTAAAGTACAAGTGCTAAAAATTAAAGGAATTGAAATACATGTGTTAAATTAAAAGTGCTTGAAAAGTAAGATTACACTATAAAAAGATAATTAAAGTGCATGAACTGAAATGAAGTATAAATGAAAATAGGAGTTGTTTGATCTGTGTGGAGATGCCTTTTATTTTGTCCAAGTCTTTTATTTATAGCTAGTGGCAGTTCCATTTATTATTGAGATGCTGTCAAGTGGAACATCTGATTTGTGCCAAGTGGAATATTTGATTTTTGCCACGTGTAACATATATCCCTTAGTCTTCTCACAATGTTGACACGTGTAAAAACATGATGTCCCATGAATTACAGCTTTGAATGAGTGGTTTTGGTGGTTCAATTCTAATTGAAGGCTTCTAGCCACGTTCTGAAACTGTCAAATGGAATGAACCATGATCTCCTAACTGCCTGGAACTGCGTCTAACTTGCAGGTAACTGCTCGTTCATTAGCTGCCACGTGTCGACTTGAAAAGTCACACGTTTTTCAACTTTAGGTAACTGCTTTCCTCTTTGGCTAACATGTAAATGAACAGTCTTTTATAAATGTAAATGAATTTTGATAGTACAAAATATGGATCGAAAACTTCTTTAGAGTCCTATATTTCCCATTGCCAAATAGTGCACTTCAGTGAAAAAAATAAAAAATAAAAAATTTGAACTAAATAGGAGCACAACAGTTGTGGTAAGGCCATTAGTATGGGAGCACCTCACAATTTTAAATTTCTCAGAAAAGTAAGATGTCATCCTAATTATGGCTTATCAAAGAGATATATTTTAGGCCTTAGTGCACTGAATTCCCCTCTTGTTTTTTTTTTTTTTTTTTTACATCATAATACCCACTCTCATTTTTTTTAAGCAACAAACCACCGTTTGTTTATTAAATAAAATTATATAAATATCCAAAATAAGGAAATTGAAATAAAAAAAAAAAGAAAGAAAGAAAATAAATATTTTAAAAACAAAAAAGACCATAGCAAAACCAACCTTTCACCAGTTGAATTTTGTTGTTTGGAAAAAGAAAAGAAAAAAAGGTACACCTCATGGAACCCTAATCGAGCAATCTACAGAAAAAAAAAAAAAACCCTAATCGAATTGATGTTTGGGATCAAAGAGGAATCAAACCCTAATCGAGTTGTTATTTATATTTTTGATAAAGATTTTAGCGTTTTCAATTTGTCAATTTTGAATTTTTAAAAAAAAAAAAAAAATTCAACCATAGTATATGCAATAGTTTTAGGGTTTTCAATTTGTCAATACGGTTTTTTTTTTTAAATGTTTTTTCTTTTCCATTCAAATAGTAGTATGTGCATACATTTATGCTTGTGAAAAGGATTTTAGGGTTTGCAATTTGTCAACGGTTACCTATTAGTTCAGTATAACAAATTGATGTTTCCATGCATGAGTGCCTATATATTAAGGATTTTTTTTTATGAAACAAATTCAAATCGGAAGATCCAAATCAAGAAGTGAAAGATTATTTGTAAGGATAATTCTGTCAAAAATAATAAATTCATGATACACCCCTTTGCTCGAGTCCATTTGATTTATCGGTAACCAAAAAAATATATATCAGTTTAAATCTATCATTTATTAAATTCTTCCAAGTTGGATCATTATTCACCATGTTTGGAATTCCACATGGAGGACCAACAATACAGAAATCAATTATGATGAGATGTTTTAACAAAGAGAAACAAAGTCTCAAATAAGATAAAGAAATCAAAAACTGATAATTAAATGATAAAAAGGAAATCAAAACAATTAAAATCCACCGCAATATTGCTAGCTATAATTTGTAATTCCTTCACCCACCTCTACTTGTCTTGTTTCTTCTCCTCCGAACACATAATGGAATTAGTCTCGGACAACGTTACAATTTCTACCTCAATAATTATAGTATCTTTCACCTTGAAGCCCTTTGATTCGTCAAAGAGATCACTTCGATGCATGAAGATTGGGAATCCACAGGTTGAAATCCTGGCACAGAAACAGACACTAGCTGCAAAGATAAATTTTGAAGGAAAATTAACAAAAAGAAAAGAAAAGTAAAAAAATAACCCAAAAAAAAAAAGTTTCAATCCCTCTAAAAAGAAAAGCTCTAGCAGTAAACAAGCTCATCCAAATCAGCTGAGAGTAGGAATACAATTCTTACCTTCGCGTTCAAAGTGTTTACCATTGACTTCATCCCTTACCCTCACCTTGAATTTTGCATACAGTTTTTCAGAATCAACTAGGTTCAGATACAGAGCTAGGCTTTTGCCTTTTGACTTCCAATTTCCTTTGGGATAGAGAGAGAGCTTCCTGAATTCATTATAAAAAGAAACAAATAATAGCTTGCCTTAGAAATCAAATGAGCCAGTTTCAAATTCAGAACATTCAAGTTTTTTTTTTTTTTAAAAAAAAAAACAAAAACAAAAACACAAAAATGTTGATCATACCAGTTCCGCCCTCCAATCTTAAACTCATCGGAGCATAGATATTCTTCACTATCTGAAAATTTGTCAACCTTCCAAGTGTAAATTTTGTTACTTAGTAACTTTGTTGTGGACAGACACTCGCCTTTGCCTGAATATTTCATAACGAAAACCTCTGCTCCAAATACACAGGTGTCATTGATGAGGTACCCGTTTGAAGGATTTTGGAACTTCTTGAGAGAGAGAAATTTCTCAAAACCCCATTCTGTTTTATTCCCATGGAAACGCCTCACTGGTTCAGCATCTACATAATATATAGATATCTCTCTATTTAAATATTATGTTGCTATATCAGATTTCAGAAAATTGAATGCATAGTAGAGAAACTACCTTCGACAGTTAGGTACTTGTCACGTATATGATCAAAGACGAATAATTTAAAGTTCACAATGATCTCCCAATCAGAAGGAAGATTAGCTGTGTCGTCGGATACTGCGAGGTATAGTGAAATGTACTGATCTTTCCCCTTTCTTTTCTTATTCCCATTTGGATAGATTGACAATTTCCTGAAAACCCAAAAATACATAAATGTGATTTACTTGGTTTTGATGTAGAGAACATGTATAGACTGAAGAGTATGGAACAGAGAAAAAAAAAAAAAAAACACACCATTTATAGCCGCCAGCTTCAAAAACTCCTGATTCGTAATTTCCAATATTTTTCAGAAGCATAGAGAAAGACTGTATCTTGAAGATATAATGCGATGGGTGGACATCACGCAATGTTCTTTTAAGTTCTGCTACAGATTGAAGACGGACAAATATTTAACGTCACCAGAAATAAAATATAACTTACCAACTGCGTCAATTATGTTAGATGACATTTTTTCTGCTGAATGTAAAATGAAGGAATTTATAAAGTCTTGTAGCTTTATTGGTGATGACTTCTGCTAGGCTTAGGTGGTAAAATATTAAAGGACTCCATGTTTATATATGCATCCAGATCAATCTGGATGATTCAGTAAAAATTCACTTGGCTTGCTAAACGCCACTTTTCATAATCAAAGTACTCTCCCACCAAATTCATTTACTTTTGTTCATTTGTTGAAGTTCTTTACCAAAACCTGGTTAAGTTGTGTATGTCTTGTTGAAGGATCTAAATATTAAAGTAACACCCACTCGAACAACTTAAGTTTTTAGAGTACATGGTTATCAACATGGTATCAAAGCTAAAGGTCTCGAGTTCAAACACCACAATCACCTAATTAAAAATTAAAAAATATGTGTTGGACAAAAAGAAGGCCACACGTAAAAGGCTTGTTGAATGATTTAAATATTAAAATTCCCCCGTTCTAACAACTTAAGCATTTAGAGCATAATGGTTGTTAACATGCATATGCAGCTTTATACTTTTGGGCTTTGGACATTCATTGCATTTATTTTTTGGAGCTCAGTAGGGTGAATCAAAATGGTCAAAACAAAATAAAATCAAGCTTAAACTTCAACAATAAATAATATTCTTTTTCCTAGGTTGAGCTAAGCATTAAGCACTTTGAACTTCAAGCCAAAACCAAACAAGAAATGCATTCTCTCCCTTTTTTAATATATAACAAGTGAAAACTTCATACTTCCTTATAGATTAGATTGTAGTTACTCTAAGAGTTATAAGAGAAGTTTTAAAACTTTCAACTCTAGAATTCCTATTGGTTAGAAATTCGAAAGTCCTTAACTAATTAACTGCATGGGATAATAATAATAATAACGTTAAGGAAATTAAAGTAATTAAAGATTATAAGTGTTAATAACCGTTAACAATGATTTAGCCAAACAACGCATTTAGGGTTATACTTATTGACGAAAAGAAGTGATAAAGTTTATAAATATGTAGGTTGTGATCGATTAGGGGAAAAAATCAATCAAACAAGTTCTCTTCTTGTCTCAAAACACCTACATATTCTATCTGCAATCATATTCTCTCTCTGCAATAATATAGTCTACTCCTACCATACATATTCTCTATTTCTTATATTCAATTTTGGAGTAACGTGATATCAAAACTTGGTAAAAACTTCTCTGTGATCATGCACATAGGGAACAAATGGAGTTGTATTTTGGAGCTTTTGGTGGATTGTAATTACCTACACGTAAGGGAGATTTCAAAGGCTTTAGGACAGCGTATTGCGTGCCTCTCCATCTAACACGCCAGAACTATCTTTCTCTAAAATAAGATCTTTTCCATTCCCTAAATAGAAGTATTTTACAATCTGAAAACTAATATCCCTAAAAGTTACAAGATGAAGATAGTAAAGCTAGGAAGACAGATTATATCACAAATTTCTCATAAAACAATGCTAAAAAGAACAGCAGCTTTTTCCACATTCCTTAGATAATTGTAAGAGTCAAAGAAAATCCACATCTACTGAGAGAACTGGCATCCATAATGGAGTTCATGGAATTTAGGACCTTCAAGTCAAATCAACGATCACGAATGAACAATAAACAACAAATAACAAAGTTAAGAAAAAGAGAACTCTGAAATATGGCATTACACTTTCCACTATGTTTGTCTGCATGTATAGAAAGAAACGATATTATATTACATTTATTTATTAATGTAATGTAAAGGAATAAGAAAAATAAATAAATAAATAACTTTGCGGGCTTTGAATCACTTACTATCCGCATTAGACATCCCTACTATGCTTTTTAGGTTCTGAACGATCACTGATGCCATGTTGAGATAGCGAAGCAGATACAAATGACTTCCTGTTTATACGAGCATATGGATCAAAAAAGTACCCACGAATATCAAATAATTCTACAATTTACTCTCTATCATGATACGTAATACACTGTAATCAATATAAACCCAAAATTCATAAGTTTCTTACCTTGGAATACTGACGGAGTAACAATAAATCAACTTTGAATCCAGAAAGTATAAGCCAAGAGGACTCTGAAAACAATTATTAATTGCATGAAAGCCGCCTAACAGAACGTAGAGGAGGTATTTATAATACAAAAGTTGCATAACGAAACCTAACACATAAGGAAATGTCCCTCTAACAATTACGAAAAGGAAAGTAGGAGTTACTTTCCATGACAGAAAATGCCGTTTTCAATCAAGAATGGAAATCACTGTTGAAAATATAAAATTACCTTAAATTCTTAATTATTAAAATTATCTTTTACCTTTTTTTTTTTTTTTTTTCCTTTCTCTTTTACTAATTAAATTCCTTTAAAGTTGTATTCCCTTTGTTCATGATTAATGGAATCTTAATTCTTTCATTTTTCTTTTTTTCTTTTTATTTTTCCACAACTCAATGTCGGTATCACATTCAAAATAATATAAAGACCCGAGGACAGTTGTAATTTTATTTTGGTAAAGATATTATCAATTAATAATTTTTTTCTTTTTTATTTTTTTTATATTTGTCTCATATTTATCTTTCTTATACTACTCTTTGATTAACATATTATTTGGCAATGATTTTTTTTTTTTTTTCTTTTCTTATTTGCCTTTTGATTTGAACAATCTATATTTATTGATTTTTTTTAATAAAAATTCAAGTACACTTTGGCCCTAAGATGAAATCCTGTCTCCGAATAAAAGGGTAATAAAAAAACAAGCATTCTAACAGACCAGCTGTACAAATTGACTTAATCAGGATTTAGAGAGAGAGAGAAGGAGGGTGATGAAAATCAAAGATTTAGGGGCTAAGACTTTGAGTAATTAGAAAATTGATAATCAAGATGAACATGGACCTTGGTTTCAAGTGGAACCTTGGTTTCAAGTGGCAATTACCAGCATTCATTTATTGGCGTTCGTACTGAAGATTGTTGTTGCTCTAAATCAGAGGCATGTCTATGAACTGGAACGTAATTAGAATTGAGTTTGGGTTAAGGTGCTAACAACCATAGCATAACCCAAAATTTTAAATATGCCTAGTGGTAGATCACGTACATTCCTAACAAATAAAGAATAAAAAAGTAATCTACAAATTGCCTAATGTGTTATGATATGTTTAGGAATTATTACATATAAATGGGGTTAGGGTTCCATATCTACTAAGAGGCTAAGTCAAAGTTCCATATTTCTTAAAAATGTGGTTGACTAAATTGATAACATGGCACATGAATTATTACTGTTTAAAACTTGTGGTGCCTAAAATGCCCTTCTCACTATTCCAGCACATTTACCTTATTGCCCTCGTTTAATTTAGTCACCCAACTCTAAAGCATTGTTGCCCTAAAATACACTCAGTCGTGCATCACAAATCCAGCGAAGCAAGACCAGGCAAACACAGCATCACCGAACATGGAACCCTAACCCTCCCTCATCTCATTCGTGAAGAGCCCTCAAAAGCCCTCTCTCTCTCTCTCTCTCTCCCCCCCTCCCCCCCCCCCCCTTGTGTAACAGGATTAAAGTGTAGCCGTTGAGCCCTAACCCTCATTCAAGCCCTCTCTCTTTCCCCCTCTGTAACAGCGAAGCACTTCTCCACGTCTAACCGTCATTGGTGCGCCCTCTCTGTAGCCCAGCAAAGCACTTCTCCACTTCTGCCATTCATTTATTGTTGTTCTAGTAATATGGTAAGTACTCTCTCTTTCTTAACACACACACGTTTATTTTTTAGATGATTATGGTCCTGATTTAGTGTTATAATTTTTATTTTTTTTTCCAATTGGATGTCTGATTTTCATCTAGGTTATGTTTATATATATTCTCCTCTTATAATTTCTATTATGCAATCATATATATATAATTTCTATTCTGCAATCAAGATTGTTGTTGCTCTGTTTGTTGTATATGTTTGACATGTGCGTAACAAATGTTGCTCTCTTGTGCGTGACAAAATTAATTTTTAAAACTCAGTTTTATCCCACCAACAAAGGCAAAATTTTCCTAAAGTAGATACTTAATTAATCAAATGTTTTTTTTATTTTTTATTTTTTGCTTCTTCTTTTGTAATTAGGTTTGCTTGTTTTTGAAGAGTTCATGCTTTCTTTATATGTTGACTAAGCTGATATCCCAAATGTTATCCTACAATCTTTCCACTAGCATGGATTTTCATAGTTAAAATACTCAGAATTTGCTGAAGAAAACATAATTAAACACGATAAAAAACAAATTTTCATGCATGTCCTTTGTTACATACATCAGATTATAGTTCAATGTTAAATATAAAGGCATAATATACATAAGATAACAAGCAACCCAACTCATATGTGTGCCAAAAGCCCCAAATACAATCATTTTCTACATTCAGTTACACAAAAAACCACAAAGCTTTACTTTTCCAAGTATCCCAAATTAAGATACAAATACGATCAGAATCCTTATTCATATTTATAATTCTATATTGAAAATCACTAACTTGTATTTGAATTGGAATATCCATGTGCATGAAAAAATCATACGTGACCCTAGTTGGAGGAATAAAAATTCCTAAAAGATTGTAAAAGTCAGCATCCTTCCTTCAATAATATACAAGTGATGGGCCCTAACTTTCCAGTTCTTGAGGTAAAGAGTTAAATGGCCCAAAATTATTCCCCCCCCCCCCCCCTCTATTTTTAGTGCATTACTCCGTGTATGTCTAGCTTACATCAGCTGCTAAGAGAGGAAGACGGAAGACAGACAAACTTTGAGTCTGTTCTTAGATTAAAACTCGTATCCAATTACACCAAGTAATGATCCTGATGGATTTTTGGAACACGCCTAAACTTCAATATCATTCTTTTTAATTTTTTATCTCATTTTCTTTGTCCTACATTAGTTATCAGTTTGCATTTCTTTGATTAGCACCAATATGAAAAGGGTGAAGTTCCAAACAAATTGATTTCCCATTAGATTGGCAGAAAAGAAAGTTCAAGCATCTTACAACTA